AGCAACACAGGAGGAAAAGCAGTCTCTTGAACAAATGGTACCAGAGAAACTGGTTATCCATACACAAAAGATTGGCACATGACCCCCTCACACACCTCTCATCCTACACAAAAATCAACTCACAATGGATCAAATATATAAATGTAAGACCTGAAAACTATGAAAATACTAGAATCAAATACAGGGGAACTACTTCAAGACATTGATATAGACAATAATTTCTTAAATAATACCCTCAAAACATAAATGGGATTATATCATGTAAGAAGCTTCTAAACAACAAAGGAAATAGCTAACAGAACTGGAGAGACAGCCAACAGAATTGGAGAAAATACTTGTAAACTATTCATCTGGCAAAGTACTAATATCTAGGATATATAAGGAACTCAAAAACGAAAATCAGGCCAGTGCCGCGGCTCACTAGGCTAATCCTCTGCCTTGTGGCGCCGGCACACCGGGTTCTAGTCCCGGTCGGGGCGCCAGATTCTGTCCCGGTTGCCCCTCTTCCAGGACAGCTCTCTGCTGTGGTCAGGGAGTACAGTGGAGGATGGCCCAAGTGCTTGGGCCCTGCACCCCATGGGAGACCAGGAGAAGTACCTGGCTCTTGCCATCCGATCAGCACGGTGCACCGGCCGCGGCGGCCATTGGAGGGTGAACCAACGGCAAAAGGAAGACCTTTCTCTCTGTCTCTCTTTCTCACTGTCCACTCTGCCTGTCAAAAAATAAATAAATAAATAAAAGAAAGAAAATCAAACAATCCAGTTAAGAATCAAAGAATCTGAAAAGACTACATAAGAAAAGCAAAGCCAAACAAAACAAAAACAGAAATTGGTTTAATCGAGTCAAAGATTCCTGTTAGTTGTGAGTGTTGGCATAGTCCGGAGAAAAAAATCATCATATAACATCAAAGCTGAACAGAAAAAAAGGTGAAGAAGAAGAAGGAACATAAAAGTATAAAGTAAAAAGACAACCCATCATAAGCTCTTGTAAGTAAGTCTAGCCTAGGAATCACAAGATACAATAGTTCAAGGCCTGCAAGCATATTCTTTATGCAGTTCCCCCAATATCAATATTCATTTTTTATGAAAAAAAATCTCTAGTGAGTGTTTATCATGTTCCAGGTACTATTCCAATTGTTGAGACCAAAGCAGGACAGATAGTATACTTACTCTTGTGGAATCTATTTATTTATTCACTTACTTTATTGATAAATTGTTAAATTGATTAATTAAATCACTTGTGGGCATATTAATATAGAGTCTCTTATTTGAACAAGATAGAGAAATTTAACATAATGCTATTTTGAAGAGATTTCTGGTTTTTTTTCTAATGAATTCATTCTAAGAATAGTGGTATCAGTGCAGTTATCAAAAGCTATTTTTATTCTTCAGTTTAAACGCAAAGTATAGAGGCACAAACTATATATGCTTTCAAGAGAGTAAAGTTCAAATAAATGCCCCCCCCAAAATAAAAATGCTTTCATTAATCCTTTTCTTCCTCTCAGACATGCTGTAATTTATATCACTATCTTGGGTTTTTCTGAGTGGAAAAGAAGAATTGAAAATCCTCAACCAGATGCATAGTTCAAAAGTCAGTATTGTAAAATCATTGCCTAAAATATTCCCAACACCAGGGAATCTCCCAAAGAATGCGAGAGCCCTGTTTCTTCACGGCCCCTGCGGTGCTGTGCAGGCAGCAGCCCAGTTAGACCTTGTGCTGCCAACAGAAACATGAAAGTGAGAAATTATCTGTAAAAAACAACACAGTCATCCTTATTGGGACTTTCTTATCAAAAACCAGGATATACAGCTGAGCTAAACCTTTCAGTTTTGAAAAAAACCATTTGTCCTCACTGCTGTTAGATGTGCTTGGTTGGAAATTTGGCTAAACAACCAAGGAACAGTCTTTTTAAAAAGTAGAAAAAGCATTCTACAGAAACAAAATACGGAAACACTTAAAGTGTTTTTTTTTTTTTTTTTGGTGTCAAATATTTCACCTATGTATGCGATGTTGCCTCTCCAAAAGTCAGCTTTGAATTGTCAGAAAAACAATTGGTGCATCATCCTAGTACTTTGAGAAAGTTAAAAATGCATTCTTCTTTTACCAACCTCCCCCACACCAAGCAAGAAGTATAATTCTTTAATTTTCTGACATGTGACTTCCCTTTGCCTTTTCCCTTATCCCAAATAAAAATATCCCTCATACAACTGAAAGTTTAATTGTATTTCTATCTGGACAAAACCACTAAAAATCCTGTATTCAATTATACAAGAAAACAGATTATTCTACCTTTAAGTTAGAAGCCATGACCTATGAATTTCATTTGAAAGTTCATGAAAAAATGGGATAAAAATAAATTTATTTCGGTGTCAAATTTCTAAAAGTTCATGGAAAATATTTATTATGAAAAAACAATGCATAAATGTCAAAACAATGTTTTGCAATAAAGCAGACTTATCTTTTCATTCCATTTCCCAAGAACTTTATAAGTAGCCTCCTATTTTAGTTCTGAAAGAATACAGTTCAGATATCAGAAGTATTAGCTAAACTTTCTAAAGGTATTTTATTGTCCTTGATTGTTCCCTTTGCATATCCCCAAATGCAAAAAAATGTTTCTTCAAGATAGCTTTAAAGTTCTTTACTCTCAAAAGGATTCTTAAAAAAGAAAACCTTATTTTGTGCCAAATTTAATTTATTGGCCCTTGAAATGAAACTTAATGTTTTCTTGATGCTTATCAAATCAAGAACATTTATAGCATCAGTATTTTTGTGTGATGGGTAGAAAACCAAGAAAAATATTGTGACTGTTTGATTTTATGTACTCTGTCAGTGAAAAAACATTGTTATCCCTTTATTCTTGAAAACCAATGATATGTCTCACATTGAAAATGGATTTCAAATACATTTTAACACAGAGAAGTATGGAGATTCCTTCATAAAACTAGAAAGAGAACTTCAATGCAATCCATCCATTCTACCATTGTGAAATCATTATAACAATGGAACACTTGCACTACCATATTTATTTCAGCCATATTTACAACAGCCAAGCTATGGAATCAAATAAAGTATCCATCAATAGATACAGAATAAAGAAAACATGACACATATCTGCAATGAAATATTAGCCATAAAAATGAAATCCTGTCATTCGTTGCAAAGTGGATGGACCTGGATGTCATTATATTAAATGAAATAAGCCAAGCACAGGAAAATTAAACACTCCATGTTCTTCCTCATTTATGGAAGCTAAAAAGCAAAACTATTTGTGTGGCCATAGAATAGTAATTACTAGAAGCTGAGAGGGGTGGAGAAGAGGGTAATAAGTACCAAATCAGAGTGGGATTGAAGGAAGAAATTCCTAGTATTATACAGCATACTGGGGTGAGTATACTTTACAATCTATTACATAATATTTTTATGCAAATAGAAGCAAGGAGTTCCAAGATTCTAATGATAAAGTGATGTCGTAGAGGGGAAAATGTTAATTGTCCTGATTTGATCAGTACACATTCTATATGTATATAGGAATGTCCTGCTATACCCCATTAAATGTCTAATTATTGCTAATCAAAACAAAATTAATGTGTAAGGCATAAATCCATTTTAAAAAGAGAAAAAAAGGAAATATAAAGGCGGGCTTATCTAAAGAAGAAAAACCACTAGAAGGCAGAGTTTGAAGTCAATGCATGAAGGCTGAAGAATATTTGGATTATCACTTTTTATGAAGTGCTAACAAGGAAAAGGGTAAAACTGCAAAAAGGAACCCTTTCTTCAGACATCTTACTGCTTGAATTTTTCTTCCATGAGGTTGTGGAATATGAAGATTCTTGAACAAATCTTTTAATAAGTAGAGCCTACATGTTGTCTTTAAAAAAATATTGATTTGCCTCCTGGAAGAGAACCCCAAAACCATAATTGTCTGACTTTTTATTTAGCTTGGGCTAAAAGACAAATCCTATACGTATGAACATGCCAATGCCCTCCAAAATAACTCTTCAGCCAAACCAGTTTCCCTTTGCCAGAAACAAAAATGAGCATAAAACTATTCTAATGTTCCAGTGTTCAGAATACATAAAACAAAGACATTTGTCAAAACCCTGTCAGGTTTGTTCCTGGGAAGCCATCTGTCCCAGGACTTAAGATCAGTTTAGGAGGTAAGACTTTCTATTTTCATTTCATGGGACTCCCATCCTTTGAGGACCCCTGGGGAAAGAAGCTAAGTTCTCTCTGGATTCATCTCCATCTTCTGTGCTCATGGAAATCCCAGGAATTTGACTTTGCTTTATCTATTTTAAGTTGTTTTAATACTCAATGAAGCTAAAAAAATAATCCAGAGGAGGTTGAAACATCTTCTCTCCCTTTTGCTCAAGTAGTTGGTAAAGGGAGTCTAAACTGAAGATGTATGAATCTCTGAATATTGACTCTAGTTAGAGACTAGTTCCTTCCATGTCCAGGAAGTCTGCCCTGCCACGTGAATCCAACCTGTTAACATCTGCCACTCAGAGGGACCTGGCATCCCCACATTGTGGGAAGTTTTAATTGATTATTGGAGACATTCTAGAGTGGACAATTTACAAAGCCAGGACCTATCATTAGCTCAGCAGGAGGGGAGGAAGGAGGAAGGAGGAAGGAAAGAAAGAAGGATGGATTATAAAAATGAGGAAACAAGAGACCTTCTTCTAGTGAAAACACTGAAGCTGAAGCAAGGACCCTAAGCTTTGTTTTGATATGAGGTACAGGCAAGGACAATTATAAACTCATCTCTCTCCCTAAATGATTCCATTTCTTTTGAATGTGGGCTTAAATTGAATTTCTATTGCAACCTAAAATGAACTCAAATTTAAATATAGCTATTAAATAGTCTGCAAAAAATAAACTCAATTTTATAATGTTTTCAAACTATAGCAGACATCCTGATATGTAAATATGAATTTAAGACACAGAACAGTGGATCTCTGTTATCAAATTACAGCTTGCTCACCCGAAGTTTGACTTACCTGTCTTGCACCATTCCAGAAGAAATGAAGGCTGAGTTGGTGTTAAGGTGCGATCATGCTCCAGGAGCTTACACTAGACGCCACAGAAACTGTAAGTAGGACCTGCATTTAGGGCCTTATAAACTCTGTTCCCAAACTGACCGAATTTTCCTGAACCTGGAATGAGCATGAACTTCTCCAGCTACACCCGAGTTTAACATGCAGAACAAATATGATGCATGTTCTCCTGTGTGCACGCCAGATGCCGACCAGATGTGCGTGCACTGCAGCCCGCTGGCCTGGTTGGGAATGCCTGGACATTTACACCACAACCAGTCTCTGTTTTTGTATCATTCAGAGGCAATTTGCTTAAACCAGAAATTACTAAATGTGATTATTGTCACTTGAAAGCAGCCACGATGTGGCACGTCATCGCTTCTGTGTTGTCTCTTCAGTGCTTTAATACTGCGTCATATTTTTAACTGAATTCATAATCTCTGACCCTCCTTGAAGATCCGGTTTGCAACTCAGGGTCTCCAGGCAGCCTCGTCCCTTCCATTGGGTTGACATCGCCACTGTTCTGTTGGATTTTAACCCTGCCCTCTGCACACGCACTGCTGTGTGAACCACATACTTCTTCACTTCTTCGGTGATTCAAACCTGCTTTTTATCTCAGTTTAAGACTGCCTCATCAAGGAACAGAGTTCTCAGCAAAACATGCTGCTCCCCACCCTCCCAAATTCCATGCACAAATTTTGATAAGTGTTCCACAGCACCTAGAGCAGGATAGAGTACAACATGGCTCACCAGCCAAAACTGCCTCTCTGCCCATTTTTGAACAGCCCACCAGCATACAATGGTTTTTCCATTTTAAGTAGATGGAAAAAACAATGAATAATATTTCATGACACGTAAAAATTCTATGAAACTCAAATTTCAATGTCCATAAATAAATCTCACTGCAATCCATCCATGACCATTTGTGTTCTTATTTTCTGTGATTGCCCTTGTGCTGTAATAGCAATGTCCTATCAACAGAGACCATGTGGCGTGAAAACCTTAAAATATTTATTCTTGGGCCCCTGATTCAGATACGTCTTTGTTCTTCTTCCCTGACAAACAAAAGGAGGTGCTCGCCTCCCTCTGAAGGCCAGGGCGAGCGCCTTCCTGCACAAGCGCCTTGATGTGATTCTCGGAGCCCTCAAGTGTGCTCTCTGCTCCCTTCACAGACAGGTTCTGTGAACACCGCGCTCCTGATTTCCTTTCAGCCTTTCTGCTTCATCACTGTCAGCCTCATTGTTCTTGCCTCATCGTCAGGTGTTAGAGTTTCCTAGGAGTCTGCCCAAACACTTTCCTTCCCTGGCCCTACTCTTCCTGGGTCGTGTCTTCCGTCACCATGGTTTAACATACTACTCAGATGCTGAGCCTCCCAATTTTGTCTTCAGCCCCTGTCTGTGTGACAAACAATGCCACACATCCAAATGTTGATGTAGCATCCACATTCTTCTCTATTCTAATGTGTTCAAAACTGGATGTTTGTTTTACTTGTAAGTCTGTGCTAATCCTAGTCTTTCTCAGCTACTCCATTGCTCAAGATGGACAGCTGGGAGACAATCTTGTCTCTCCATAGGCAGGGATTCCTGTTGATTTTACTTCTAAGACCCATCCTGAGTCTCTGTTTCACGCATATTTTAATTCAAGATGTTCATTCTCCAGGGACGGAACCTGCTTTCCTACTGGATGGATAGTCACCCTCTTAAATCCCTGCATTCCATACAGCATTGTGATGGCTTCCCTCCCCATATTCTCTTTATTACCTGTTTGATGCAGAGCAGAAACTGCATCCAGGAACTTGTGGGTTGGGGCATCAGAGTCCATTGTCCTAGGCTCCCACCCTCGTACAGTGAAATATGATGACCTCTGTTCTTGAAGATACTAAGTTCACGGAATATTTCTCTTTCTATGCTACAGCTATGGAAGCACAATTTACCAGAACACATGTATCTAGAGAATACAATGCAACCTTAAAGAAGAAGGAAATGCCATGACCTGGGACAGCAAAGAGAACAATTTGCTAAATGAAATAAGTCAGACATAAAAAGGCATATATTGCATGATCTCACTTATATTTTGAATCTAAAAATGTCAAAGTCAATGGAAGTAGAGAGTAGAGTGGTCCAGGGACTGAGGGAAAGGGACAGGGAGAGCAGGAGAGTAGGGGATGGTGAGTTTCAGGTAGACAGGAAGAATAAGTTTTAATGACTTCTTGCACAAACATGCTGACTACAGTTAGCCATAATAAATACTTCAAATTTGTTAAAAGTAGATTGTAAATCTCTGTATCACAAAAAAAAAAAAAAGATAAAAAGGTCAGGTGATGGATATGTTAATTAGCTTAGTTTCATCAGGATAATATATACATATATCATAACATCACATCATACTCCTATATGTAGTTATTACTTGTCAATTAAAAATAGCAATAAAATGCATGGTACTTCCCTTTCTTTGTGGGTCATGTCTTATACAGTTGTCACTGATATATGTAGATACATCCATCTCATTCAGAAGTCAGGGAATTACTATCAGTTGGTTTAACCTTTTGCAAGGCAAACACTGCCCTATAAGAGACTGGAAATAGTTATAAGATAATCAGATGCTGAAGTCTGAAATGTCCTAACTACCATTTGGGATTAGTACTAAGAATTACCTAAAAAAGAAAGAAAAATGGCACTGTTCCATTGAGACTATAGGATTATTGATTGAATATCACATATTTGAAGCAAAATAATAACAACACATACAGCTTTGAAACAACTCTATCATTTTTCTCAGCTCTTTCTATCCTAAAATGATCCTACCAAAGATGGAGAAACCATTCCAGATGCTGTTGTGCTATTATTCAGTAAAATGTCACTTTCATCTGGTCTGTGTTATTTGGTATCCATTTTTAAATATGAATAAGCATCTTGTTTGTTCTTTTGATGACTGTTGAGCACTTGGCAGTTGCCAGCATTGTTCTACATGTAGTAATTCTTACAACACCCTTGCTCGATAGAACCCAGAATTTCAGGCACTCGTAGAAGGCATGGAAAAACTAGACTCATTTGTTACAGAAAGCATGAAATACCCAACCCGAATTAACTATTATTTATCATATACTTTAAGTCATTTAATCCCTCTAACATGAATCTGTCCAGCTGTTCTTAAAAGTTTTACTGATGCAAGGAACTCAAGCCCATTGATTACTAATCATATGTTAATCCAACATAAATATGATTCTACAACACTTGTCATTAACTGTCATATTCCAACTTGGGAACCAGCTGCATGTGCAACCCTGGTTACCAATGACAAGACAACAATCCATTTCTCTTGTTCTTTTCTCATAATTCAAATCCATTATGACAGCAAAAATTCAGAAGTTCTGTACAGTAGATGACACCAACTGACTTATCTTTCCCAGCTCCCTCATTTTATGCAAGGGCTAGGAAATAGCAACGTTAGGAAGACAGGATGGCATAGAAGTATTTGTTTTTATTACAAGGTTTTATTTCTTTTTGTTTTCCATGTCACTCTGCCTCAATTAAACAATGGAAATTTCTGGACCCTGGCATCTCAGTCAGAGCCCATTAAATGGAACAGCATCCATGAATCATGATAATAGGTTTTCCGTTTCCAAGAGCAGTTGACATTTGAAGCCAGTGCACAGAAGGCCTTTGTTCAAGCTGGGACTGCTACAGGTTGCAAGAATATTCTCTGAATCCTTTCTCCCCAACCCCCCTTCCTGATAAAAGTCTCCCTATGTTTGTCATGTAAACACAATTGTCATCAAATAATTTTCTGTGGACACAAAAGGGAAAGTATTCTAAAGAGATAGGTGCAAATTGTCAACAAATAAACATGTGTGTACTACCAATCTGAGGGTATCTTCTTTTTTTTTTTATTTCTTAACTGAGACTGTCAGGACTTGACTTAAAGGCGTATTGTGATGTAAATGAGAACTGTTTACTGATTCAGCTCCTTTACTCCTATTTTTCGGAATGGTCTACAGAGTGGCAAACACCCTGGGTCAGTCTAATGCCTACATGTTCAGAATTCCATTTCTCATTTGTTCCAGTGCTGTTATAGAAGTCTATCAATGCCAGCTTCCTGTTGTATACTGATGATTGATTCATCATTCATTAACTTTTTTGGGACCAGTTTTTATCTTTCTTCTAGAAATAACATGGGATCATAAAATATCAGTGTTTGGAGTGGTTTTGAGATCTGAGTTCTGTCCTATACAGATGAAGAATCTAAGATCAAGAGTAGATAATCTATAAGTGATTCAGTGAGGGTCACAGGGGGCAAATAGTGATTTCACTTCTCTTAAGTGTTCTCTCTCTCTCTCTCTCTCTCTCTCATTTTCAGCAAGGCAGGTGATAGGAAACCTTGGAAGCCAGGGAGAGGAAAGTGCCCAGAGATCACAGGTGTAGGAGTGGTACTCAAAAAATTAAAAATCGGCACAGGACAGGAACTGACCAGGCAGAATGGACATTGACCACATGGATGGAGTTAGATTGTGAATACCTCCTGTGCTGGGCATGAAATTTTAGCTACTAATAATTAAAAGGAGTGAAGAATGAGATAGGCATTAGAGCAGTCAGGGATAGGACATGGAGAAATACAGGAGAGAAGCCATAGAGTGTAACCAAAATGGAAGCATTTTAGTGTCAAGCAACTGGCATCACCATATTATCATGTGCCAGCCCAGCTTGGGAGGATAGATAAAGGGTGAGTGACCCATTACCAGATGAAAAGGATTCTACTGACTCTTTGTGTTTCTAATACAAAAACTATTTAACATCTGGGGAACTGCCAGGGAAAAGCAAAGGTCAGTGATATAGGTCTGTTGTTGGCAACAACTCTGATATCTTGTCCTACTTGTCCCACTTTGCATGGTGGAACAAGGCTGTGTGGTTGAACTGAACAAAGAAATACTATAAGAGGGTGTTAGATGGGGAGCACATGGAAAAGAAGACCCAGCATCTATCACAAATTCTGCCGACATCTGAAGGTCAGCAGTGAAGGTCCCTTACTATGGACACTGCAAGAAATCAAACATGCCAACTCCTCTGCCCACAGTAAGTGCTGAAGAGAACTTTATGTATGTGTAAGACACAACTCATCTGTATAGAATCTAACAAGCTGCCAGCAACTTCTCCATGATTAACATTGATGGGCAGATCAGAGGACAACCTCTAACCTCAAGATACTCAGAAGCCGAGAAAACACCTGGACACAACACAAGAAGAGTAGCACTGTCATTCTGCTGCCAGAACCTGCAAGTAGGAGGTGTCAGCTACGTTTACACTGTGCATATGGCTTGAGGCACATTGTCAACCATCGAGGGAAGTGGTAGACATCTTGTTTCTCAAGGTGATGTGAGTAGAAATGCATGCAACTGGATCTCTTGTCATCTGACTTGCAGTGCTGTGCTCTTTTCCCCACAACATGATAATAGCACATCACACTAGGACATTCCTATGAAGTAAGATATAGAACTTGACATTCCATGAATAAAGAATTCCACGAAACCTGACCTTACTAATTGCTGGGTTCAGAAATTTTCCATTCATCTAGTCATTTACTCTTTTCCTGTGAGTGAAATGATTCTTATTCCTGTTGCTGCCTGTAGAGTGTTGGGCTTAGCCTCTGTGTTCTGATCATCCACTAATGTATTCACCCACCCTTCCCAGGAGTTGGGGTCTGAGCTGATTCTGAGAATACAAAGACATTGTATAAAGTTCTCCCTATTTCCAAGCTGTGAGGCAGCAGACTCCACACATGGGCAGCTGTGGAAAAACAGATGTCCACTAGTCTCCCTGTTTTAAAGATACTTTCAAATATCATCACAAAAACTTCAAGGATTCAATATTAGAGATATCAGAATTAATAAAGTTTGACACAATCTTTTACTATTAAATGACTCATACTTTTCATCCATTGTCCTGAAGCCAAACTTATGAGTTTGAGTTCTTTCTTCCTACAGAATGAGCTGTACCCTGCAAGGCTCCTTGCTCACTATAGAGGTTGAATTGTTGGCCTCTTAAAAGATGCATCCATGTTGTAATCTCTAGAAAGCATGAGTGTGATCTTATTTGGGAAAAAATAAAAAGGCTGTTGAAATATTATGATCTTGAGATGAGGTCATCCTGGATTTTGTGAGTGGGTCCTAAATCCAGTGGCAAAAGACATAGGCACAGAAACAGAAAGACAAAGAGAGGAGAGGGCTGGGTAAAGACAGAGGCATGCCATGGAGTGATGCAACCCCAAGCTGAGGAACATCATCAGCCACTAGAGGATGAAAGAGGCAAGAAAGGACTCTCCCTCGGAGCCTCTGGAGGGAGCACAGCCTTGCCACGCTCTTGACTCAAACTTCGGTCTCCAGAGCCACGAGAAGAGGATCTCTATGGTTTTAAACTAACCCATTTGTAGATAATTTATTACAGCAGTCCCAGGAAACTTCTATGAAGGCTCTCAAAAAGTTATGGGAAATGTATAATACACGTACAATTGTATGGATTTCAAAGTTTTTTGAACAAAAATAAATTTATCTTTTGATTTTTCCACAAACTTTCTGAAATCCTCTCATGGACCTACATTCCCGTAGGTGCCCTCACTCATACTCCGTTGAGGCTTGACTTCAGATATTAATGGCAGATGGACTGTGTCATCAAAGGACCTGCAGTTACTAATAAATCATTTCCACATTATATGGCTATGCCAAGGGATCTGCTGATATGA